GGGGTTGCGATCCGTTGCCGGACACGGAAAAAGACAAAAAAAAAAAAAAAAAAAAAAAAAATTGGAATCAGTCCTCTCAAATCCTGCAGCTGCTTTACCAGCCAAGTTTATGTCAAATTCTAAATCCTTTGCTGTCATTTCAAACATTGTCACAGCATTTTCTCCAGGAGCAGATTCCATCTCAAGAAACCACTTTTTTTTACTCACTCACAAGAAGCAACTCCTCATCCATTAACATACCACGAGATGGCAGCAACTCAGCTATCTCTTCAGGCTGCACTTACAATTCTAGTTCTCTTGCTACCTCTACTACATCTGCAGTTACTTTCTCCACTGAAGTCCTGAACCCCTCGCAATCATTCATGAGGGTTGATATCAACTTCCTTCAAACTTTTGTTAATGTTGATATTTTGACCTCCTCCCATGAATCACAAATGTTCTTAATTGGCATCTAGAATGGTGAATCATTTCCAGAAGGTTTTCAATTGACTTTGCCCAGGTCTATCAGAGGCACTACCTATGGCAGCTACAGCTTCATAAAATGTATTTCTTAGATAATAAAACTTGGAAGTTAAAGTTACTCCTTGATCCATGGGCAGCAGAATGAATGGCATGTTATCGGGCATGAAAGCAACATTAATCTCCTTGACAATCTCCATTAGAGCTTTCAGGTGACCAGGTGCATTGTCAGTGAGCAGTAATATTTTGAAAGAAATCTTTTTTTCCTGATCAGTAAGTCTTAACAGTGGGCTTAAAGTATTCAGTAAACCATGCTGTAAACAGATGTGCTGTCATGCAGGCTGTTTTTCCATTTACAGAGCACAGGTAGAGTACATTTAGCATAATTCTTAAGGATCTTAGCATTTTTTCAGAGAGGTAAATCAGCATTGACTTCAACTTCAGGTCACCACCTGCATTAGCCCCTAAAAAGAGAGTCAACCTGTCCTTTGAGGCTTCGAGGCCAGGCATTGACTTCTCTCCAGCATGAAAGTCCTAGATGGGATCTTCTGACAGAAGTCTGTTTTTGTCTACACTGAAAATCTGTCGTTCAGTGTCACCTCCTTCATCAGTGATCTTAGCTAGATCTTCTGGATAACCTGCTGCAGCTTCTACACCAGCAGTTGCTGCTTCACCTTGCACTTTTGTGTTATGGAGATGGCTTCTTTCCTTAAACCCTATGAACCAACCTCTGCTATCCTCAAACTTTTCTTCTGCACCTTCCTTGTCTCCCTTTACCTTCATAAAACCGAAGAGTTAGGGCCTTGCTCTGGATTAGGCTTTGGCTTTAGGAATGTTGTAGCTGGTTGGATCGTCTATTCAGACCATTAAAACCTTCTCCATGTCAGCAATAAGCCTGTTTCATTTTCTTATCATTTATATGTTTGTTGGAGCAGCACTTTCACTTTCCTTCAAGAACTTTCCTTTGCATTCACAACTTGGCTGTTTGGCAAAAAGGCCTACCTTTCCACCTATCTCAGCTTTCAACATGCCTTCCTCACTAAGCTTAATCCTTTCAAGTTTTTGATTTAAAGTCACAGACATAAGACTTTGTCTTTCACTTGAACATTCAGAGGCCATTGTAGGGTTATCAGTTGGCCTAATTTCAGTGTTGTTGTGGTTCAGGGAATAAGGAGGCCCAAGGAGAGGGAGAGACGAGGGAATCGCTGCTCAGTGGAGCAGTCAGGACACATACAACATTATGTGTGCTGTCGTAGGTGCCCCACAACAATTGCAACAGTGACATCAAAGATCACTGGTAATGAATCACCATAACAGCTATTATAATAATGAAATTTTTTTAAATATTGAGAGGATTACCAACCTGTGACACAGAGACACGAAGTGAGCACATGCTGTTGGAAAAATGGTGCCAATAAATTTGCTTGATGCAGGGTAACCACAGACCTTCAGTCTGTAAGTACTGCAGTATCTGTGAAGTGCAGTAGAGAGAAGCACAGTAAAACGAGGTGTGCCTGTGTTCCTTTTCAAAAGACAGGATTTTTTTCTTAGCAATTTTGAAACTCCCCAGGCTGCCTCTTATCACAACGGAATGTTACTGCAGTATCTGTGAAGTGCAGTAGAGAGAAGCACAGTAAAACGAGGTGTGCCTGTGTTCCTTTTCAAAAAACAGGATTTTTTTCTTAGCAATTTTGAAACTCCCCAGGCTGCCTCTTATCACAACGGAATGTGGACCTGACAACTCAGAACACTGTGTGAAGCAGACAGAAAGGTCTGCAGGTCAGTCCCTGGGAGAAGAGAGAGCTGTTTAATCTGTGGGAACAAAGAACTACAAAGTATCTTTTTGTCCATCTTTTTTCAGTAAATTTTGCAGGGCTAATCTCTTCCCCATTTCTTCATATGCAAATTATCACAATGTAAAAAACACTGTAGGGGTTGTGTTAGAGGAGCATTTATGAATTTTCCATTTTTGCACAGGGTGAATGTTATGCAAGGACCTTTCATTCATAGGCACTTTGTTATGAGCTGGCTCTCGATTTTATGACATATGAGACAAATGTCATTTGTTCAGTTGAAACACATGGAGATTTTTATTTTTAAAATTAAAATTATCTGGGAGCTGGCTGGTTAGCTCAATTGGTTAGAGCGTGGTGTTTTAACACCAAGGTCAAGGCTTCAGAGCCTTATAATGGTCAACTGCCAAAAATAAATATATACAAATATTAAAATAGAAATAAATCATACTAATTTTTTTCCTTTTTTTCCCCTCTTTTTAGCTTTTTGGTGGCTGGCCGGTGTGGGGATCCAAACCCTTGACCTTGGTGTTATAACACCACACTCTAACCAGCTGAGCTAACTGGCCAGCCCCTCCATTTGTTTTTAGTAAATGAAGAAAGTCATCTTTATTATACATTAAGAATAATCAATATTTTAATTACAAATAGAACATATCTTTAAATACTTTTTCAATTTTGAATATATTACAGTCTTTTTTAAACCTCATTTTTATTCTTCCCACAGTGGAATCTCTAGCACTGTCTCTCATGGCTGGCATGGAACAAAGTTAAATATCTTCAGAGCAATAAATACCTCAGACTTCATCTTCATCCATGTTCATTTCCACCATATGCGGCTGAGACGTTGGAATCTGTTTACTTTGGTTCATTTTAAAAACTGTTGTCCACAGTCTAGACAAATAGATTATAGGGTTTTTTTCTCTGGAATTATTGGGTAGAGTATAGGATTATGTATATAAAATTGTGTAAATAATATAAAATGTGTATAGGCTGCTTCCTGTCATATTTCCCACTGGAAGCTATAGATTTATGGTATTGATACCTTAAAATATAAATTATGTCATCTTTTGAGAATGTAATTATTGACATTAAAAATAAATTAAAGCACTTAAAATTCTTTTATTCTCCTTTTGCAGCAGCACCTTGGTCATAGAAGTTTTTTATACAGAGTTTACATGCCATCTTCCCTAAAAGTTGTTTTAGATTTGGATGTCCTACAAATGTTTATATTTTTATGTGCCTGGGAAGTTTCGTAATGGAAAATAGCTTCAACTAATATCAATAAATGTGAAAAGCCAACATCACTTAATGCCTATTGTTATTACATACAGTTTGCCATTTCTGAGCAAATTTTGTGACCTAACTAGTTATATCATAAAATTATGTTTACCTTTCAATTTTTTCACATTTTCTTTTTATTTCTTGCCATGTGTATTAGTCAGGTTTCTCCAGAGAAACAGCACCAATAGGATACATAGATAGACAGACAGAAAGAGATTTATTATGAGTGACAGAGGCTGAGAAGTCCCATGATCTGCCATCTGCAAGCTGGAGGCCCAGAAAAGCCAGTGGTGTCAGTTCCAGTCCAAGTCCAAAGGTCCAAGAATCAGGAGTGCTTATGTCAAAGGGCAGAAGATGGATGTCCCAGCTTAAGCAAAGAGCAAATCTGCCCTTCCTCTGCCTTTTTGTTCTATTCAGGCTCTCAATGGATTGGATGATGCCCACCCACACTGGTGAAGGTAATCTTTGCTCGTAGTCTACCAATTGAAATGCTAATCTCACAGATGCAGCCACAAATGTTTTATCAGCTATATGGGCATGCCTCGGCCCAGTCAAGTGACACATAAAATTAACCATCACAGCATGTCTCTAACACTTATGACCTAGCACCATATTTACTACTTATTTTTTAAAAGCAACCACTGAGCTCCAAATAGCCCTCAGAATGAAGCACCCAGGGCACCCTTGCCCTTTGACAAGCTCGACCATCTTGCTGCATCAGCATTTTCAGCACCATATTTACTACTTATTTTTTAAAAGCAACCACTGAGCTCCAAATAGCCCTCAGAACGAAGCACCCAGGGCACCCTTGCCCTTTGACAAGCTCGACCATCTTGCTGCATCAGCATTTTCTGCATGCAGGTGGCCAAGTTTGCAAAGAGCCCACTCAGATCTTGGACTTTAATCAAGTCTCAGAAGAAATTCACTGGGGAGGCCTTCAAATACCAGAGAATTAACAGCTACTTCCAGGTCTCAAGAAATACTGTTGTATAGCCCAACAACTGTAAGATACATGAAGTCTCTTGTTATCTGGTCCTGCAAGTCAAAATCCTATGAAAATTGGTGGGAGTGTCTGCTCCCATAAGGCTGTCATGAGGAAGCAGCCAACTTTTAAGCAATGAAACCCTGGCTCTTTTGGTAAAGTTCTTTATACTTAACAAAAATCATCACAGTAAACATGCCAATACACACTCTTGTAAACTGAATTATCAGTGTTTCTAAGCCTAGGATAGAAGGCAAGTTAATTTACAGGATGTTAGGAAAGGAAATATTTTTGTTAAAACAAAGAGTATTTGGAATTTGTTGTTACTTCAACTAAGATTTTTCTCTGTAATTATAGTTGTCCTTTCCTTGTGACTTTACAGTAAGTGAAGATTAACAAGTTTAAATTGGGGAAGAATAGACTTGTCACCAGTTGGTTTCTTTGGGAGCAGCCTCTAGGATAGAGTTAGATGTGAAACAGTGCCATGTGGAGAGAGGGAAGAGTTGGATTGCCTTGTCAGATTTCGTGTTGGGCCAAGATGGCCATGCCTTTGTGCCCCACCTTACTCCGTCATTGATGTGAGTTCCTGGGAAGGACATGTCTTCACACTGAAAGCCTCTTTGCCTCAATTTCTTTTACCCAGTGCATCATGCCTGACTTTTAACAAAGAATTATAAAGCATATTAAAAGACAACAAGTTTGAAGAGACAAAGCAAGCCTCAGAACCAGACTTATGGCAGAGATGTTGGAATTATCACACCAGGAATTTAAGACATGACTAATATTCTAAGGATTCTAATGGAAAAAAGTGGACAGCATTCAAGAACAGATGTGTCATGTAAGCAGAGAGGGAAACTCAATGAGGACATAGTGGAACCAAACATCAGTTGGCTGGATCAAATTGACATTTGTTAACATACTCATCCAACAATAGTAGAATACACCTCAAGCTTACCCAGAACATTCACCAAGTTAGACCACATTTTTTGGCCATAAAACATACCTTGGCTTTCAGTCAAGATGGTGGAAAAGACAGTCACCAGTGTCACTCTCTCCCACAAATCAACCAATTTACACTATTAAAAAGCAACAACAGCCAAGCTAGGGCTGCTAGAGCTCAAGGGAAGAGGAGGAAAGAACTACAGAGTTCATGAAGGTGGGAGAGGCCACAATGAGAGAAAGAATAAACCCCTCTGACTGTTTTGAGCCCCAGCCGATTCAAGGCTGGAGCTGGTGAGCACGTGGAGCAGGGGCTGTCAAAAGCCACAGCTGTGCCCTTCGGATGGAGTTGCTTGGAGGCTGCAGGGTAGAAGAGGACCTTGATGGCCCCCAGGCCAGCAAGACTACTAACAGGGTTCCTGTGGACCCACATAGGAGTGATGAGCCACCACAACTAAAAAAAAGGAGCCACTCAGAGGCCAGTGAGTCATCGCAAGGGATGGATGCATGGCCCATTCCATGGGAAGTGTTTGGAGCATGGGCAGTATGGGAGACGGGCTCGCTAGGAGAACACTGGGGCACAGCAAGGACAGCTGATCTGGCCCCAATCAGCACAGGACCACTCAGTGGAGACTAGTCAGGAATACAGAACTGCAGGGGGTGTGGTTTGCTGAACAGATTCAGGCTCAGACCAGAGTTTCCACACAGCTAAGGTGCACCAAATCTCACAAGACCTGGAAATACCTACAAAGTCAACCATTAAAACCTATCTTCACAAAAAGTCTTCCCCAGGGAATCAGCAGCAAAGTAGCAATTTAGCTCAAGCAGACTTCAAGAGCTGGTCCACACCGTAAGTTCTCCCGTTTTAGAAGTAAGCAAAAGACAACAAATTAGTTCCAGTGCAGAGTTTAAGTGGTGGGAGCAGCAAAAAATCCAACACAGAACTGGAAGAAAAAACAAAATACCCACAAGCCAGAGACAAAGTTTGATATTATAAAGGTCTCACATCACCAAAGAACACCTATAAAACCTAGGACTGGAAGTCCCCTGGGCTACCAAGCCAGGGAGCGGGGAGGGCTGGGGGCCTCAGCCATGACCCCCAATACCCACATCCAGCCCAGTGGCAACCACCAAGCCACCACAAGTAGTGCCCTGAGCTCTTTGGAGCTGGAGCAGTGGGGAGCCAAGGGCCTTGGCCAGACCCCAACAATACCCACACCAGCCCAGCAGCAACCACCAAGCCACTGGAAGAAGTGCCCCAGGCTCCCAAGCTGGGGCGGTGGGGTGGTGAGGGCTTTAGCTACACCTCCCTGACATCCCCACCCAGCCCAGCAATGACGAAACCACCACTGGAAGCCCTCAGGTCTCTCCTGCAGGAATGAGGGGGGTGCCACAGGCGTCAACCCTACCACTCCTTCCCCCTCCCACCCTATTTCCTTCCCCCTTTCCCTCCCCCCTCCCCCCCACCCCTCCCCCACACCATAGAATGTAAAAAAAAAAAAAATAAAATATACTTTAAAAAAAAAAAAAC